TATGTAAAATGGATGCCAAGGCAACATAAAATCATAAGAATTCAATGCACCAAAAGAGGGCTTTCACCAAAGCCTGGTCATGCTGGCGCCCTGATCTTGGACCTACAGCCTACAGAAATGTGAGAAATAGATTTCTGTTGTTGAGAAGCCACCAAAACTATAGCACTTTGTTATAGCAGCCCAAATTAAGATAAAGACCTAAATAAATAGAGTTATACTATATTCATGGGTTGGAATCAATGTTGTTCAGATGTCAATTCTCCCCAAACTGATCTATGTAATCAATGTAATCCCAATCAAAATCCTAGCAAGCTTTTTTTTGGTACCAATTGATAAGCTGATGCTAAAATCCACATGGAAATACTAGAAATCTAAAAGAGCAAAAACAATTTTGACAAAGAACGAAGCTGGAAGATTTATACTACTTGATTTTGAGACATATTATAAAGCTACAGCAATCAAGACAATGTGTTATTGGCATAAAGATAGATAAATAGGTCAATAGAACAGAAAAGGCCAGAAACAGACCCACACAAATATGTTTAACTGATTTCAAAGTAGTGCAATATCAATTCAGTAAAGGAAGGACAAGGTAGTCTTTTTTTTTTTTTTTTTGAGACGGAGTCTCTCTCGCTCTGTGGCCCAGGCTGGAGTGCAGTGGCTGGATCTCAGCTCACTGCAAGCTCCGCCTCCCGGGTTTACGCCATTCTCCTGCCTCAGCCTCCCGAGTAGTTGGGACTACAGGCGCCCACCACCTCGCCCAGCTAGTTTTTTGTATTTTTTAGTAGAGACGGGGTTTCACCATGTTAGCCAGGATGGTCTCGATCTCCTGACCTTGTGATCTGCCTGTCTCGGCCTCCCAAAGTGGTGGGATTACAGGCTTGAGCCACCGTGCCCGGCCTAAGGTAATCTTTTTAACAAATGGTGCTGGAATAGTTGGATATAGCCATACACAAAAAAAGGAAGAAGATGAAGGAAGAAAGGAGGAGGAGGAGAAGGAGGAGGAGGAGGAGGAGAGAAGAAGAAAAAGAAGAAGAATTTGTTCAACTCATACTCACACATATGTGAAAATTAACTCAAGTTCAATCACAAGTCTAAATGTAAAACCTAAAGCTATAACACTTCTAGAAGAAAACATAGGAGAAAATCTTTGTGACCTTGGGTTAGGCAAAGATTTTTTAGATACAACACCAAAAAGCATGATCCATAAAAGAAAAAATTGACACACTGAACTTCATCAAAATGTCAAACTTCTGCTCTGTGAAAGACATTGTTTTTTCCCCTTTTTCAGTGCAGTAAGCTAAGAAGACCTTTTTAAGAGAATGAAAAGACAAGTCACACACTGGGAGAAGATATCTGTAAATCACATAGTTGACGAAGGATTTATTTCTAGAATATATGAAGAGCTCTCAAAACTCAATTAAAATAGATGAAATATTTGAACAGAAATTTCACCAAAGAAGATAAATGGATGGCAAATTAGCACACAAAAAGATGCTCAAAGTCATTAGTTATCAGGGAGATACAAATTAAAGCTATAATTTTGGTGCAGTTTATACAATTATTAGAATGGTTGAAATGAAAAAGGCTGATAGTAGCGAGTGTCAGTGGAGGAACTGGAATTCTCCTACATGGCTGGTGGCAATGCAAAATGTTATGACCACTTTGGAAAGCCTGAGCAGATACCTACCACATGGCCCAGATGTTCCACTCCGAGGTATTTACCCAAGAGAAGTGATAGCACGCAAAGACTTGTACATGAGTATTCATAGCAGCTCAATTTGTAATAGCCCCAGACTGGAGAGAACCCAAATGCCCATCGACTGGTGAATGAGGATGGGAGTGAGGCAGGATTACAAAGGGGCAGAAGAAAACTTTTAGGGGTGATGGATATATTCATTATCTTGATTGTGGTGACTGTTTCACAGGTATATACATAATACAAAACTTATCCAATAGTATAATCTAAACACGTGCAATTTATTGAATGCCAATTATGCTTTTTTTTTTTTTTTTAGACAGTTTTACTCTTGTTGTCCAGGCTGGAGTGCAGTGGTACGGTCTTGGCTCACTGCAACCTCTACCTCCCGGTTTCAAGCGATTCTCCTGCCTCAGCCTCCTGAATAACTGGGATTACTGGCATGAACCACCATGCCCTGCTAATTTTTTATTTTTAGTGGAGACGGGATTTCACCATGTTGGCCAGGCTGCTCTCAAACTCCTGACCTCAGGTGATCCGCCCGCCTCAGTCTCCCAAAGTGCTGGGATTACAGGCATGACCTAATGTGCCCATCCCCAGTTATACCTTAATAAAGCTGTAAAAAAATAGTAATTAACAATGATGTCCAGTTTGTTGGGAAAAAAAAGAAAGAGAAAGGACAGAATTAAAAACTGGAAGACAATGGTCTGCCAGATAGGAGGGAGTGATGGGAGTTAAAGGGTTTGGGAATCCTATATTATTCAAGGAAAAATTAAGGATTGTGAGGATATTAACTGTAGTCTTTGTTGAAAATCTACGTATAATACAAAGTTCAAGATTCAAAATAGAGGCTATAACCTCCAGACTGTAGAAGGAGAAAGAATGGCATAAGAAAACAAAAATAGAACTTAGTCAATCCAGAAAAAGGCAAAAAAGACAATAAGGAAAGGGCCACTGGTTTTGTCTCTTCTGTCCCAGCCCGTGTGTCATTGCAGATGGGCAGATCTGCTGCTCTGCATCAGACCCAGGGCCTCGGCACTCACATCCAGCCCCATGGTGCCATCCCAGCTGTCAGCCTGAGGTGCTTGCTTGCCACACCTTGAAGTGATACTGGCAGAGAGCTCTTCCCTGCTCCTGGGAAGATTCCCCCAAAGCACATCACAGCCCCTTGCATGTCTTAGGCGCTTTCCACCTTCTCTGTTTCTGTTTTCTTTCCCCCTAGATGCACCTCCCTCGCCTACTTCCTGGATGAATTTACAAATTTCTCCTTAATAGACCTTAAGGGATTAGAATCATAATATCCAATTATTTGTTAAGAGTAGGGAGGGGAAAAGAGGCCTTAAATAATCCATTTTGGTGTTAAAATGTTTCTTTTTGTCCGGGTGCGGTGGCTCACACCTGTAATCGCAGAACTCTGGGAGGCCGAGGTGGGTGGATCACCTGATGTCAAGAGTTTGAGACCAGCGTGGTCAACATGGTGAAACCTTGTCTCTACTAAAAATACAAAAATTACCCGGGCATGGCGGTGCACACCTGTAGTCCCAGCTACTTCGGAGGCAGGAGAATAGCTTGAACCCAGGAGGTGGAAGTTGCAGTGAGCGAGATTGTGCCATTGTACCCCAGCCTGGGCGACACAGCAAAAACTCCATCTCAAAAAAAAAAAAAAAAAAGTTTCTTTTAAGGAAATAGCTGGACTGGTAAATGGTAGTTTATTATTTTTGTTATATTTACTGTCCTAATTTGGCAAAACTAAATGTTTGCAATTCTTCAATGTTCCTCCATTTTTTTCTGAAGTTTCACCTCCCAGGAAAAGTCTCCAAACTGGAAACTCTCATTCTCAGGATAGGTGAGCGGTGACTTTTTGCTTTTTTTTGTTTAAGGGGGAATGAATAGAATCTCACGTAAATACCAAAGACTGCAGCTCCGAGTATTCGAGTACAAACATAAAACCAAGGTGTATCAAAATGGGGGATTGCAAAGTGGCAACTGGTAAGGGAGTGGTCTTTCTCCCCTACCTGTCAGGAGGGAGCTGGGACCTCTTGGTGGTACTTTGAGAAGAAGACAGTGTCTCTGAGTAATATTTGCATGTCTCATAAATCCACTGAAACTTGGAATTCCACGGATGGCAATCTTAGGTTGTCCGGGAGAGAACTCTGCCTCTCAGACGATGTCAATTTATTTAGCCTAGTCTGCGAATGGGCAAGGGATGGGAGTGGGATGGCCCAGCTGACCGCCTCCTGGTTCCCAGGAAGCCCTGGCTCCAGTGGAGAGATTCAGAGGACAGGAGGATTCTTTCCTTCCAGGGAAACCCCAGCCAAGGGATTTTTCATGGGGGAAGCTTGCTTTTGATGCCCTTCTAGGGTGCATTCTGACAGTGTGTGTGCCCAGGTCCCAGCAGAAGATTTGGGACCATCTGAAACTTGCTGCCTCCTATGTCCCAAACACCTTGGTACACACAGTGCCTGGAGCCTGGGTGCAGCACACAGAGCTCGGGCCTGGGAGCTCACTCTCCACCAGGAGAAGGTATTTGGTGCAACCCCGGTGCAGGGGCCTCGGGCACAGGCTGGCACCTTCTGGTGAGCTGTTCGTGCTTCATCAGACCAGTTCCACCTCCACCCAGTACCCCAGGCCCTTGAGGTTCTGACCACAGGGCCATTATTGAACTGTTTCTCTTGCCTTTCCAGCAGGGACAGATGCAGAGGACTTTAAGAAACATTGATTGCAGGGGTCTGGCAGGAGTGACATTGGTGCTGCCACTCCAGAAAGCTGTTTAGCAAGAGGTGTCAGTTACTTCAAAAATGTTCACTCCCTATGACCTGGCACTACCACGCATGCAAATCCTTTTAAGAAATCTCCCAGCTCCCAATGGCTCATGCCTGTAATTCCAGCACTTTGGGAGGCCGAGGCAGGTGGATTACTTGAGGTCAGGAGTTCAAGATCTGGCCAACATGGTGAAATCCCGTCTCTACTAAAAATTCAAAATTAGCGGGGCATGGTGGTAGATGCCTGTAGTCCCAGGTACTTGGGAGGTTGAGGCAGGAGAATGGCTTGAGCCAGGGAGATGAAGGTTGCAGTGAGCTGAGATCGCGTCACTCAACTCCAGCCTGGGCGACAGAGCAACACTTTGTCTCAAAAAAAAAAAAAGGGAAAGAAAAAGAGAAAGAAATCTCCCAATGCAGATAAAGCCCCAGGCAAATATTCACCCACACTTATCTACAATAGCGAAAATGGAAGCAAATTAAAATATCGAGTGATAAAGAATTGGTTAAATAAACTGAGACACACTGATAGGATGGAATACGCAGCTGATGAACATTTTATTTATAAAAAGTTCTGTAAAACACAGAGAAGTGCTGGAATAAAGTGATGGAACAATAAAGTGGAAAAGGCAGGATACAAAGTTGTATATACAAGATAATTGCTCTGTAAAAAGAACACCAGCAAATTATGTGGAGAAAAAAGAGTGGAAGGAAATACAACAAAATGAAATAATGATAGTCTCTGGTGAGACAATGGGTGACATGTTTTCTTCCTTTTCTTTTTCCTCTCCATCTTTGCAAGTTTTGCATACCGAATAACTCTTAATTTCACTTTTTAAAGAAATAAGGCCAGGCGCGGTGGCTCACGCCTGTAATCCCAGTAATTTGGGAGACTGAAGCAGGAGGATCATATGAGGTCAGGATGGTAAACCCTGTCTCTACTAAAAATACAAAAATTAGCCAGGTGTGGTGGTGCGTGCCTGTAATCCCAGCTACTCGGGAGGCTGAGGCAGGAGAATCGCTTGAACGTGGGAGGTGGAGGTTGCAGATCGTGCCACTGCACTCCAGCCTGGGTGGCAGAGCGAGATTCTGTCTTAAAAAACAATAATAATAGAAAAAGAAAAAAAACCAGTAGTTGTGCTACTTTACCCCTACTCCCTGACCCCTCCTCCAGGGGGCTGGACTCGGAGTCACCTTCAGGTATCCGCCCTGTTCCTACTCTCCTCCGTGTTAGACACCCACATGCACTCTGGTTTCCTACTCTTCTCTCTAGCCACCAGAGCCCATAGGCAAGTAACCCTTTCTAGACAAGGAAGGAGCCAAGGTTTTCTTCATCATTTTTCCAAAGGCAAGAAGGCATGGCCAGGGAGGGTGAATGGAAAGCAACCACTCTCTGCTGGTCCTGGGCTATCCCTGCAATGTGCACCTGACCTGATCCAGGCTTGGACTTAGGCAGGCCTCAGGGGAGTGCCCAGCTGGGTCATGGTGTCATGGACAGAGCAGATCTTATGGGGGCAGGTGGGAGACGTCACAGCCCAAATGCAGACTCTAAGCTGGAGGGGTCTGAGCGTTCATCAGGCCCGCTGGTCCTCAAACTCAAGTGCGACAGTCACTGGGCATTGTTAGAAATTCAGAGTCCTGCACCAAGTCCCAGAGATGGTTTTGGTGGGTCTTGGTTGGCCCAGGAGTCACATTTTTCACAGGCTTCCTGAAGGGCTGGGATGCAGGGGGTTCAAAGAGGAGCCAGAATCCCAGTCTCACCCCAGCATGCTCCTCGTCATCACCAGCTGATGCAGGAGACCATGGGACTGAGTCTGAGGACGCCAGGGAGGGAGGACAAGGTGGGGTCTGGAGCGGGAGGAAGGCAGGTCTGACACTGGGCATGAGGCCCAGGAGAGTTTGTGGCAGATAGAAGCTCAGGACAGATCCACTGAGCCTTGCCTGGCCCTGCTGAGGGTCAGCAGCCTGGTGCCCTGCCTAGGGATGCGAACCTATCAGGGATGTCCCAGTCTCCAGCTGGAAGGGCAAGGCCACCGCTCTGGGCTTCGGGGCTGACAAACACTTCTAGGTCAGGCTGGAGCATGCAGGAGGAGAGCCTGGGGAGGGCTGGGAGAGCCTGGAGTCCAGGCAGCTGGACTCTGAGGCTGAGGTGGAAAGCTTTCGCGAATCAGTGCTGATCCAGCCAGCCACACTGCTTCACGGCTGGCCTGGCCAGGAGGGCCTCCTGCCCTACACTGAGACAAACTTCGAGAAACCCAGCTCCTCCTCAGATGTGTGGAGGGGAGGCATCGAGATCACGTCCCCCTCGGGGGCCTGGGAAGGGGCTTCCTCTTCCTCTGTAGTCTGTAAAGACAACAGTGGGGTTTGGAGAGCAGAACCCAAATGAAGGGGTAGGGGGTGTGAGGAGTGGTCCCCAGGTAGCTGCTGTGTCCACCCAGCCTTTTCCACAAATTCCAGCCCTCCATCCACCTGCAGGGGCACACGACCTAACAACTTCTCCTCCCCAGAACTCCCAGGCTTTGATTCATGGCCTCTCATGACCCCAATCCATCCCTCCCCCGGGGTGCCCTCAAGGCTCCAGGCTGGGTTCTGGCACAGTTGTGGCCTCCTGCCAGCCCACAGGACTGTCAGCTGTGACTCCCAACAAGCTATTCAGGAATTTTCTGGACCGGAAAAAAGAGGATGTGAGGTCAAAAGCCCTGGCTTCCCTGGTGAAATGGGCTAGGGCTGTGGCTGTGATGGGGAAGGTGGGTGAATGCGGGGGTGTGGGGTTTGGGGAGCAGATGCTGAAGAAAAGGCCTTCTTCCACTTCCTCCAATTGTCAGAGTGGAGGCAGGCAAGGTGGCTCTGCAGCCCCTCCCTTCCCAAGGCCCTTCTGTCCATACCTGGCTTAGATACTGGATCTCTGTGTGGAGGCTGGGAGAGGGCTCAGGGATGGTGAGAGGCCCCATGGACCCTGCAATGTTGATCACGGCGTCCTCTGTGTCCCGGCCATTCCCCAGTGGCTGTAACAGAGACTTGGTCAGAACAGCCTGTTCTTGGCAGCAGGGATGGTCTACGAGCCCAGCCAAGCCCAAGCAAGGGGAGGGAAACGTGGGAGGGGTGGGCAAGGCAGGGAGGTGCTGGGAGGGGAGAATATTAAGCTCCTTCGTGCCTCTGCCACTTCCTTCCTTCCTTCCTGCCTTGTCCAAAGAAGGACGAGCTGTCTCACCTCTCTGAAGCTCAGTTTCCTCAGCTGTAAAACTAGGTAAGAATTTGTCCTTTGGGATTATGATATTCATAATAGCATCCTACCACTCAACCAGTGAGAACTTCTGGAATGACTGATTTGTTTTCATTATTTTCTATCCTTTAAAGCAGAAAGATCATGCAAGCTGCAGGTTCTTTGTAACAGGCCAGGAGAAAGCAAAGTTGAACATGCCAAAGATGCATTGAATAACAAGGGGCACATGAGATAATGGGTCTGAGCAATCCATTATCTATCAGATGAGGATACCACGGCCCAGGGAAGAGAGAGGTAGTCCAAGATCAGTGGGGAGGCCCGTATTCTGACCCGGGCCTGGTTGTTCCCATGGGTCCTCAGATCAGGAACGCCAGGCCCATCCATCTCGGGCCTTGCCCTAGCAGGTGGGCAGAGCAGAGGCTGGAGCCGGCCAAGGTCCCCAGCCAAGACTCCCAAGGCCACAGGCTGCCCTGAGGTTTCCTGGACAGTGAATCCCATGGTCAAATGGGCACTGATGCTAGAGAAAGAAGCTCCCATTTTTTGGGCATCTATGGGGTATGTCATCTCACTCTTTTCTATTTACAACCATGTGAGCTATGGCAATAGCGGCTCAGAAAGGTAATGCAACCTGCTTGACATCACACAGCTGGCAAATGGCTGAGCTGGGACTCATACCGGAGACTGTCTGACTGCAGACCCAAGCTCTTTCCCTATACCCTGCTGCCATCCTGGCAGGGTGTGTGACACATTTCTCTTGGGCTTGGTGTTCGTGGTATACTAACCAGGCCCCAGCTTCACTCAATACCTAGCTTCTGGGGATGGGGGCAGAGGTAGATGTTTGAGCCATCTCTTGTTAGAAATGTCTAGATGAAGGCTGGGTGTGGTGGCTCTCACCTGTAATCCCAACACTTTAGGAGGCTGAGGCTGGAGGACTGCTTGAGCCCAGCAATTTGAGACCAACCTGGGCAACATAGTGAGACCCTGTTTCTCTAAAACTTTAAAATAAAAAGATAAAAATATACTAAAGACACTCTGGGAGGCCAAGGCGGGCAGATCATGAGGTCAGGAGATTGAGACCAACCTGGCTAACACAGTGAAACCCCGTCTCTACTAAAAAATACAAAAAATTAGCTGGGCTTAGTGGCGGGCGCCTGTAGTCCCAGCTACTCAGGAGGCTGAGGCAGGAGAATGGCGTGAACATGGGAGGCAGAGCTTGCAGTGAGCCGAGATCACGCCACTGCACTCCAGCCTGGGCGACAGAGCAAGACTCTGTCTCAAAAACAGAAAACAAAAAACAAACAAACAAACAAACAAAAACTAAAGAAAAGAAAGAAACACAGGATGACATCTTCAGCCTTCTGGAGACAAGGAGTAGAGCTGAGTTCCTTGGGGGAAATGTGGGTGGTGATGGGGGCACTGGGAGGGGTAAGGCAACTCCCAAATGCTGCCACTCAGGGCTCTTGTCCCTCCTAGCCCTGCCCATGGTGAAGACAGAGGGGGCCTTGGTGCAGGGCAGACCTGGGGCTACTCCAGAGGACTCCTGACATCACACCCATGAGTCCATATTTACAGCTTTGCAGTCTGGTTATAACCCAGCCACTGCTGACCCTGGACCACCAGCAGCTACAGAAGTGTCACCTGTTCCTGGGTGACCGAGTTTGAGGAAAGAGCCTCTCAGTGCAGAGGCCAAACCACACACAGTAGTAGGCAGCAGCCAGGCCCACTACTGTAAGTCTGGTGTGATTCCATCTCTCCCCTGTCCCTCTGCCTCCACTGTGGACGATCGACCCTGTTCCAGCAAGCACAGAGGCATTTTCTGGGTTGCTAAATATGCAAGATATATATCAGAGCCCCTGTTTCTAGGTACTAGTAATAAACGTAGTAAAGAAAGAGGGAAGTCTTGGGAAGCCGGGTTGAGTTCTGATGGGAGCTTAGCAGGCTATTCATTTCCAGGAGCGAGGGTCTGCAGCTGTCCCAGGGTCTTTCTCCTGAGTCTGGGGGAGGAATCTTGGGTTGTGAGCTTGGCTCCATTCCTCAAACCCCTTGTACTTCAGTGCAGCAGGGTGGAGGACACAGAGGGCTCTGCAGCTGGCCCCATAGACCTGTCAGTTTCCCCAGTTCTGCCTCTTTCAGGCTGGGTCACTGTGGGCAAGTTCCCTTTTCTCTCTGAGCCTGTATTTCTTTTCTTTCTTTTTTTTGTTACTTAGTTTTTATTTCATAATCATAAACTTAACTCTGCAATCCAGCTAGGCATGGGAGAGAACAAGAAAAACATGGAACCCAAAGGGAACTGCAGCGAGAGCACAAAGATTCTAGGATACTGCGAGCAAATGGGGTGGAGGGGTGCTCTCCTGAGCTACAGAAGGAATGGTCTGGTG